GCAGGATTTCTCATCTCAAAACATGTAACTGAAATAAGCAGCATCAACACTTCTAGTCTTTGTCTGTTTTTTCAGTCAAGTAGGCCAGAAGCCCGACTAAATTTACACCTACACTGTCAGAGGGAGACCATCACAAATCTCCATCTCTGATGCAATTGCACTACCCACTTCACAAATTCATGGTAAATTTCCCAACAGGATAATTGCACCCACAGGTAATTCACTCAACTCATGTTCCCACGTCACCATCTGATTTTAGAAAACTATTGATCTTTTTTCCAAAATGTATCTATTATAGTATTGAGTCTATGTTCCATACCAATTTAACCTTAGTTAAGCATCTTTTAGAACCCCCTGCCTGCCCCCCCTCCATAAACTACCTATAAAATAAATTTTACTGTAGTCCACCACAAACAAAAAAGGAATCCAGTCCAAAATGAAGGAACTCAGAAATAGTGTAAATAAACTCTACTTTTCCATTTGGTCTAAGTTGTTAAGTTACGTTGTACACTCTTCAGAGAGATGACTTTGTCCTCTTACTGCCATGGAAGCATAATGTTAGTGTTACATTTATTCAACTTGAGAAATGTCTATATTTTTTGCTGCAGAATGACACCAGCAAGATGGTAATTATTATTATTATTATTATTATTATTATTTTTTTTTTTTTTCAGAGATGGTGCTCTTTTGGTTTTGATACAAAAACATTCTCTCAGTCTTTCCTCTACTGCATGTCCGGCAATTCTGTGTGTGTGCAAGTATAAACAAGCCAGCACAGACACCAATGACTGTGAAATTTTCCTAGGTAGAGAGAGCAACAGACAACTGTAAGCTATTTGAACACAAAGATCAGTTTATTTACCAATGCACAGCAAATACAAAACTCAATTAGGATGTTTTCCTTAGCCATCCTTTCGTCATTTTATACATTTTCCTCATACTGTAAGTCACTGACTTCTTCAGCCCTAAGAAAAACAAGAAAAAGAAAAAAAGTTTAAGAGAAACTGAAATATTTAACTCATACCACTTTAAGCAGGTTTTTATAATAAGTATTTCACCAGAAAGGTGACTCAACTGTTTGTATAGTTATAACAAATCAGTAACTTTCTTGACATTTATGATATAGCAGTTTATGGAAGTTGATGGTGCATAAGATGCACAACATTGATGGAACAGATAAGGATTATATTATTCACAAGAGCAGTGTAACTGTTTACCCTTAAGTGTTTCTGATGTTAGCAAGAATCAGTAACTAACATAGCAAAGTTTTGATAAATATTGTATATGTACACCCACATCTCAAAAAGACACACACTTTAAACTTGGCATAGGCAGAAGTTTTGGCTGTGCAAGTGGACCAAGTTGCACTATCATTCCTAGTACTGATAAAGATCCTTGTACTGCTAACATAAGCAGTGTTTGTATTACAGATCTTCGTTGAATTGCTGTTCCCCTCCACATATTTTGCTGAGTGTGAGAATATGCTAGCATGGGAGTGTATAACAAAGACGTTAAGAAATCAGGTAAGAAATGCAGCAGAACACCTGAGAAAGCAGGCAGAGCACAAGATGGTCACCACAAGGAAGTCAGAGCAGAGAACGGAGTACTGGATACCAAGTCCAACTAGTGATATTTTATTAGCTATTGAGGCAAATAGTGAAGAGCACTAGGACCTGTAGGTAATGCCAGGTCTTGTTTCTAGTCCAGAAGATCTGCAAGCAAAATTATACGAGGAAGTGGGACTTGAGTACGCCCAACGAACAGACCAGAATCTAGCAAAGCAAAAAGCTGTGCACAGCATATGTACTGTATTACTTCTAACTCCTTTTCTAGCTTCTCTTGGTGATAGGATTCCAGTCAGCGTTGTCCTGGCACTTCATATGAATTATAATATGAACATTCTACCATCATAAAAGACAGGGTTGCATAAGAACTTGTCTGAAAATCTTCTATTTGGTCAGTTACAATTTACCAACATTTTTGTCTTGTAAGAAAAGTTAAGATTTGGCCTCAGCCCTTTTTAACAGCATCTTTGAAAACAAACAGTGAGGCCATTTGAATAGGAGTGGAAAAAGCTGCAATTTTTACAAAAAGTGTTCTTTTAACATTTTTCTGGTTTTTTAAACAGCTTTGCAATTGAAAGTGTCATAAGCTAAAAATGGAACTTTAGCATTCAAAGTATTTTCTATTTGCTGGTGAAAATAATCTCTGACCTTTTAAGAGAGGCATGTTGCATGCACTTGTCCAGTAAGTATGGAGTGAGGAAAGGATACTGCCTGAAGGTTTCAAGTAAGATACAAATTTTGAGCCAGAGTTCTACAGTAACTATTTGCCTAAATATCTGTGTGCATTATAGGTGTGAAGGAAATGTCTGCCAGTTCTCATACACTTTGCAAGGCAATTTTAGTTATGGAGTCAGTAAAGTTTTGCAGGGGATGGATACTCTCTTGTGCTAGTAGTGTGCCAGTAATATGACTTCCTACAGTGTTTAACCATATAAATACCAGACTATAAACATTTAAAATAAAGTATTGTTCAATTCTGACAAGTCAACAAAGCTCCAAAATCCTGGAAGGCATTGTTTCATAAGCTTTGTGTTCCCAATTCCTCCTGAAACTTTTTTCCCTCTAAAAAGGCAAGGAAATTCCCCAGATTACCATAATGTTGCAGTTGTACTACTAAAAGCAACATGAAAACTGGAAGGGCAGCATTTAAGACAGAATGAACAGCTTTAATTCTGTTCCTCATGCACATACATTAAGAAGTCTTTATATACTTTTTATAATATTCACATATAATATGAATGCCAGATTGAGTCAATTAAAAGTAATTTAATCATGTCTGTACAACATAATATAGAACAGAAAAGAGAGGTTTTTAGCATGAATAAGCAACTTAAGATTCAAAGTTAATTACTGTCCACTGCATAGCATCTTTGGAAGAGTTGAAAAGATATACTGTATATCTGTCTCTTACAAAAAGACCTTTGAGAACAATCAATTCCAAATTTAAAAGTCTTTTAAGTAACATGTAAGATACACTGTGAAGATAATGAAAATCATGTCTGTGTATATGGAATTAATTAATATTACATGATTAGTAGACACAGTAGACAAATGTACACTTGACAAACAGAATGCTACTGCTCAGTTAAAAACTATCACAGACATGCACAAAGGAAATAATTTAAAGCTAAGCATGCAATCTTTTTTTGCACTCTTTGCTTTGTGTTCTTAAATACCATTAACACAGATATAGCCACTCTGATTCTCAAAATGAGAATCAACATATCAGTAGATACTGAAAGTTAGATGATAGGCTATTTTTGATGTCAGCATGCTTCTGTGACTGCATGCAGTCACTAGAGTGTTTGTTATTCTGAGACTGTGTTTTCTGGAGTACCATAAAGTTTGCTCAGTAGTACCCAGGAACAACTACCACATTCCAGAATCCCAGTGTGCTAGACACAATAGGGATCCCCATACTCTACATATTAAAATAACCTAACACATGACCCTGATGACTGCCACTCAAACAAGAAACATTTCCATATTCTGTGATTCCAGGAAAGTCAATATACTATCAATATAAGAAGAGCATGCTGATGGGAACATCAGCAGTGAAACAGTTAATATGCGCTTGCAGGAGTCCTGTACAGTGTTGGCACTGCAGGCAGCAAAGACTGCCTGTTGTACCTGAGCCAACTAATAGTCTCCTGCAGCAGCTGAATGTTAAAAGATTTTTCTAATATCCTCTTTGCAGTGAGCACTCAACTGAACCCCACCCACTATAGCCTTGAATCTAGAATCTTATGCCTTTTTTGTTTTAAAGTTCTTGCCCAAACTCATCATGCTACAAAACAAAACACGGGTTCTTGTACACAATCAACTCCTTAAAGAAGCCCATGGGAGTGGGGGGAGGGGGAAATGAGTCACATCTGTAGTAAAAGTTAATGGTTGCAATTATAGCTCAGTTTCAGCATCCAAACAGAGATTCTTGGGTACTTGGACAACATGAAAATGCCTTTAAACTTAGAGCTATGAATCCACAACTACTTGTTAGTTCCCTCTCTTTTCTCTTCAGTTTAGATTTTTCTGCCATATAATACATAACAACGGTTTAATGTAGGCAGAGGATAAGACTGCTAAATTTGGGGAAATTAGGTAAGTAGAGATTGCATCTGTTATTGGTCATTAAAGATGTCGCCATGCCACTTTTTTAAATCTGGCAGATGTATTTGGGCTAATACTACAACATTCCACCTTTCTACATTTTCCCTGAAGTTATGCTCAAAGTAGTATGTAGTCAAGCATGTATTCTGACTTGAATAAAAGCTAAGGAAGGGTTTAACTACAATCTTAAACAACGTTACTTTGATTTGTAATGTTTTATTACTAAGCCCCTATCAAGATTCTTACAGGCTTGACTGTACTGTCTCACAAATCTATACCCCACTGGATCAAATGCTGTCATTATAATGTTCAGTGTTATTTCAGATCAGGTTTCCAAACTCATAAATATCAAAACAAAACTGCTACTTGGGAGCAGCTAAATATGAAAACTTTCAGAATTCTTAATTGCACAGGAGGAAAAATAAATCAAATGATGGTGCCATCTCTAATAGGAAACAGACCAGAAATCTCACCACAGATTTTAGAAATTACACAGGCATATTTTCAAAAGCTAAGTAAGTCATTTAACAACAAACAAGAACACAGCATTTGAGTTCAATTTTAAAACCAAGCTGGCAAAGAGAAATGAAAGGAAACCCTCTTAGCTGGGTTGAAATACTTTGTTATAACTGTGGATTCTGCCAAATAATGTTTGGAAACAGTGTACCCTCTAAATAACGACCTTCATCCCAGAGCTGAATTATTTTACTTCAACAGCAGGGTGCAGACTAGCTTGTTCTAGACAGGAATTGTGGGTTTTTCAAAGTAGCAAGGTTTGAACAGAAATCACAGTAATCATTTAATTATTACTCAAAAGGTTTTGGAATACTTGCATCTCCTTTTATATTCTCAGAAATACAAGTTACTGGCTTGCATAAACATGGCAATAAGAAAAAAAAAGAACAAAAATGCTTTACAAAAGGTACTGTGGATAAATGGGTGGGAAGCTTTAAATTACCAATTCAATGAAATATGTGAGTTCTCCTTCATTTTTGCCAATACCATATATTGTGGAAGGGACACTTAGAGGATAGGTAGATATATACAAGTGAGAATTCATAAATATTTTTAAGCCTCTATTAGCTCAAAGCTTTGCTAGGAAAATTTAGGAGTACTTAAGAGAGAGTTTGGGAAGAAAAAGCCTTACATAAAGCCAATATTAGTTGACAAATTTAAATTCAGGTTCAGTTTGGGCCCTAAAACACATTTGCTGTACTATTAAAATTACAGAAAGGCCAGAACTTTTCTGTACTGTACTTAAAACATCTCTAAATAAGGAAACTAGTTTGGTGGTCAAAGGTAAAACAAGCAGGAATTGCTACTTGTTAATTATTAAATAAAACAGATTTTTCTGAAGCACAGCATCAGTGTACTTAGTGCCTCCTGGTGGCAAATCTTTTACATCTTATGAAACTGAAATTGGATCAAGGTTGCTTTTAGAAAATACTACAAGCTTTCAAATTCATATAACCTTCATAAAGATTTCATGAATCACTTACAAGGAAGAAAGCAGTTCTAAGCAAAATTATTTTATTAATAGTTAATTCTAAGCAATGAAAACCCATTATCTCCTTGCTGAGCTCCTGAAGGAGTCATCTAGGTCTATCCAAATGTAAATATTTATTCCATCCATTTATTACATTAAAGGCTGTCATGTCAAGCAGTCAAAATTTAGGAAATGTCCAATGACAAACTTAATATGATCCCCTTCTATATGTGCATTGTGTTACATAATCAAACCCATTCCCTCCCCCCCTGCCTCCCCCACAAGACCCCTCTCATTCAGCACATTA